CAGAAAGCTGGTAATCCACTGACAGGTGGGGGCAGGCACAGTGAGCTGGGTGAGTTTGGAGTGGAGGATGGCCGGGTGTTGAACGCTGAGCTGAAGTCCACAAAGAGGGCCCGTGCATATGTCCCTGGGTAGTTGAGGTGTTACAAGATGTAATGCAGTGCCATGTTCACTGCATCGTCCACTGACCTGTTTGCCCGGTAGGCAAACTGCAGGGGGTCTAGCAGTGGGTCTATGATGTCCTTCAGGTGGGCCAACACCAGTCTTTCAAAGGACTTCATAACTACAGATGTCAGGGCGACAGGTCTGTGGTCGTTCAGTCATTAGGATCCTGAATATCTGAAGCAAAACGTGTGCAATTCTGTATACAAGCACAACACAGTTGAAAACAATTGAATCACCATAAAAAGAATTCACCGACAAGCTATTTTTAAAAAGTGATCTAAAAGAGGAAACCGTTTGACATAAATGGCTGCACAAAATTTTACGGCAATCCATCCCACTGTTGTTGAGATGTTTCAGTCAGGACCAAAGTGAAAGGAAAACAGATGGGAGTTTCACAGAGTGCACCATCATCACATCAGAATTTGCGCAACACAAATTAAGTCCACAATGAAAACCAAGTAAGTGTTTTCTCTGGGCCAGCTTTGCAGAACCTGAAGCTCAGCAGGGCTAGGCTAAAGGATGCTAACTCCTGCTGGTCCAGCTGGAACATCTTTTCCATTCACACACTGGTATACCATTCCCAGACATGATAGTAAACAGAGAGAGAGCTACAATAGTTTGGAGCACGGTGAACTATTCAGTGTTTCTCTCAACCTCACAGACACAGGGGAGCCTCTAAGTGATCTCCATATGCCACAGTCACGTGTCTATCAGCCGAGCATGTTCTGCTGGTCTGTGCCGAGTTCTCAGGCTCGATCCTGTCTCCCTGCCCAGGCGAGGGAGTCATCAGGATCCATCTGAGAACTGCTACAGAGAGCAGTTGGCAGGCATCACTGTGTGTGTGCGTGACTAACCTTGTTGCTTAGCAGTCAGGCTGTTGTGATTCTATTGCTCCAGCTGGTTGGGTTCAGTGTAGGATGTCCATTAGCAGGACAAGAAACAGTGTGGGTATTCTCCAGTGCCTCAGTCTCAGAGGATAATTGGCCTATTTGGGGAAAGACCTCCGGATGAGAAGGGCATGCCGACTTGACTCTTTTCTATTCAAGGGAATAGGCGGAGGAAGATCTTTTAAAATAAAAGTAACAGTAGAAGTCCTGCATACAGTATGTGCACAGGCTCTAAAGAGGCCTGTATTTAGTTTTGACAGTGTGGATGCAAGATGAAGTAGGAATTTAAAAAAAGATCCATGAGCTACACCTCCTTACCATGGATGCTGGACATATTACATACACATTACTTTAAAAACTAAAGTAATTTTTAACTTGTAAGGTTCGAGTACTTTTACTATTTTAAGTAGTCGTCATTTGCAAGATCAATAATATAGATTTCAAAATGAAAAGATACAGCACAATTATGAGATTCTGTAGTTTGGGCCAAAATGTTTTCACACTAACATTATTATGGGTTCTCAGAGTTCACTGTAAGAGGTTTTACTTAATTAATATAAAATTACATTTCAATTTTTTAAAATAATAATAATAATAAAAAAATCCATACATCTTATAGAAGAGTTTCCTGATGCAGTGCCATGTGAAGGATCAGGGGGCACGGTCCCCCAGCTCAGGCTTGGCCCTCAGCCTTTACACACTGAAATCCCTCCTGATTCCTCGAATCTTTTAATTATATGCTTCACCGTAGAGGGTGACAGATCCAAATCCCTTCCTATCGTTCTTTGAGGAACATTGTTTTTAAGCATTCCAGTCATTTTCTCATGCATATGTTGACAAACTGGCGGTCCTCGGCCCATCTTTGCTCCTAAAGGGCTCGGCCTTTCATGGATGTCACTTTAGTACCAAATCATGTTTCAAATGGAATCATCATTTCATTGTTTTACCTCATTACTGGCCTTGAAATGCAGCCGTCCCCCAGCTTTTTCTGATTTGGGGTTGTATGGTACCTTCTGGGCCACCCCTCAAAACCAAATAATGTTAAGTGCTCTCAGACTTTATACAGTATACACACAGAGGTACCACTGCTCCCACTTAAAAAAACAGAAACAAAAGAAATCTGAAACAACCAAAGCAAAGAATGTGTGCAAACCTTTAGTAGTGGGGGTGGGGGGGTGGATTTAAGATGCAGAAGATAACTTTACAACTTTTGGGGAAAAAAAAACATTGCAGAAATACTCCAAACCATTCAGATGGTTAAAAACAGGCTGAAGTCACATAATTCAAGTGTGACTAACTCAGTCTAAACACACATTCATCATATGCATTTCATTTCCAACAAACTGGAGAGTCCTACTTCTTGAATTACCTCCGAGACAGACAGGAAACAGATACATTATTTTACCAGTATTGCCATTAAAACACACAGAGCAATCACATTGTACCTCTCATTCATATTACTTCCAGTTCTTATCACAGATACGTGATCTGGCGATAAATAAACAGGACATCTACTTTTAAAGTGCTGTACTTCCGTGATGCATCTTACAGTGAGGCTATAGAACTTCTGAGAAGAAAAAACAGTTCCCCTCTAGCAAAACTCAATTCATAAGCAAGAAAACGCACTTGTGCTCAGTTTCACCACACACACAAGGGTTCTGCTGTTTACTTATCCAATATGACCAGTAGCTTATTGTGCCTTATGGCAGAAAACCCTAGAACGATGTTGTGAATGACACCACTGAATCTGTTCACTGGCTTAAGGAGTCCTCTCCACTCGTGCTACTGTAACACTCCTTTAGCACACTAATACAAGGACGCAACACTTTTATTATCAATTAATCTCCTGTGTTTTATCTTTAATCTACAGTATAAAATGGAAAAACAAGCCTACTGTCACATCTTCAGTTTGCTTGTCGACATGACACAGAAGAGCAACAACTGTCTCCATCTGAAAAGCTGGAACCATCATTTTTCTGTCAACTGACTAATTTGACTAATCACTGCAGCTCTATACTGATGTCTTTGAAGCAAGTGACTCTTTGGAAATTAAGAGATTATTCTGTAACTACAAACTGTGGCTGCTTTAGCTGCTGTTCAGAAGTTTTATAGTCTCACTTTGGTCTATTTCATTATCTTTTATGACTGGGAAAGAAAACACACAATGAATGACAGATGAGAAAAATGAATTTGGAGTGAATGTTGTCCGACAGCAATCATCCCCATACTGTAAAGACAGTAAATGAATGTGAATAATCATAGTTGTCAACTCAAATGTTTAAATAAAACACTAAACAGTCAAAAACACGGAGATGAATGCTGTCTTGCTTTGTCAGTACCAGGACATGCTAACAAAACAATCCTGCCAGATGTGTGTAAGTACAATCTCCAGAGTCACAGAAGGCATTTAACAGTACTCCAGCAGTGTCTATATGGCCAATCAAGCAGTGTCTGAGGCTTACAGTGTTACAGGAGGGGAAGAACAAAAAGGACACCCACTGATCGACGCTTGGAATCATCTCCTGCTGAGACCGGGCACTAACTTCAGTTGTTAGAGCTCATCTTCATCTGGGAATTGGTCAGAAGTGCCCATTTACTTCTGATGCGTATCCCTTTGAACATTACAGTGACTTTTCAAATATCAGTCCACCTTCCTCTTTCTCCATTTCTCCCCTGCAACTGACATCTCTCCTGTTACTTCAAGCACAGAGAGAAAGAAAGACGCCGCCTCTGCTTCCAGGAAGCCTTGTTCTGCTCAGTGGGCAGACGACAACAGTGTCCAGGTTAAACTCAAGTAAAAAAAAAAAAAAATTTGCACTCGTAGTTTTGTAAGGTGCATTGGATACAAGTGTCAAGCACTGAATCCACAAGGGGGAGGGGGAATTATTTATTAGTGAACAGTCACAGAAGGGACGAGCTGTTACTGCTCCGTGGGACACACGTTGCGGTCTTTGCAGCAGAAGTAATGCACCACCACGCCGTTGGGATATCTGGCAAACGCACTGAAAAACAAAGATAAACAAACACAGAGTGCCTTCCTGTTGGATGAATTACTACTCACTGCATTTTGGCAAATAAACTTTTCATTAAAAATGGTAGGAGTAAACTAAAAATGACCAAACTATGAAATTAACAGCATCACACTGCAAAAAAAAAATCTAGTTCAAGCTGATAGAACAGACAAAAAAAGTTATAAAAGATGCTGTTTGCTACACACTGACGGTGGCATAATCCCACATTAATTGGGATTTTCATGGTCACCTGAAATTACTCCAAGAAAGAAACTTAAAATCTGTCCAGTTAGAACAAAAACCTCAGCTCCTACACAGAGACAGTGTTACCTGTTTCCGATTTTCTTCTTGCAGACTCTGCAGGTCTTTTCCTCTGTGATGACACATTTAACCTGCTGGTGGAAAATGCGATCCTCTTGCACCTGAAGACATAGAACATGTTTGGTGAGCCGCGATGGACAGCACGCAAAATCTGAGCAGGGCTGAAACCAGCAGCTGTTTTTCACAGCTGGTTTATCTCCAGATCGTTTTGTTCAATCAATAGTTTAGTCAGTCATGAAAAATTACCACATCTTTGAGAAAGCACTTTTTTTCTGTTTAATTTTACAGGATACATGCTGAATCACTATGTGTTGATTAACCAATCGTTCCACCTCTAAACTGAATCCCAATTCCCTTATTTTATCGCTCCTCTGTCCTCGATACTCGCTTGACCATTCTGTCATTCAGTCATTCTGGTCTGCCATAATGAAGGACGTCCCAAAACTGTTATTTCTGTTCTGAGGGGCGAGGAGGCTGCCTGGAGGAGCTATAACTGAGGACATATGAGTGTAACCTTCGCGGATGTGTGTTATGGACTGACACTGGAAATCCGTTTGGGATTTGATGTTTCATATGAATCACTGGAGGACACCTCATGTCAGATGAAACGTATTTCCTCAGTTCCTTCCTCCTCACAGTTTGCCCATCTTAAGTGGGTGGGACTAAGGCGCAAGGAAAAGACGAGTGAGGGAAATCTTCGATTCTATACCCCTGGATCATCAGTGGAGTCTGACTGTAACATGAACATAAAAACGACAACATGTTGGTTTAGGGACACTTCCTTGCGACATAACCAATGATAAGGGGTCACTATGTTCCGGCACTGTGCTGTCAGGAGATGATCTGCTGGTGAAATACTGTGGGCTCTGGGCCAGTGGCTCCCAATCTGAGGGACAGGGCCCCCACAACAAACCTTAAAACAAATGTAAAGGGCAAAGAGAGAACTGCATAAAACAGGAAATAAAAAACTGTAATAAAATTGTTTATTTCAGGACCTTCCTCAAAGCTTTAGTCTTGTGAAATACTCTCATTTAGTAGCAGAGCCCACTCTGGCTTCACCAGCCTATCAATAAAGTGTAACATTATCATTTTGAAGAAAAAGGACAGACATCTGTGATGCTCTGTCAAAAAAACAATAATCAATTCTCACAAACAACATGGGTTTTCTTTGACTTTCCACAGCCATCAGTCACGTCACTGGCCGACTACAATAGACTTTACAAATGGAATTTTAATCTTGTTTAGATAAACCCCCATGCACGTAAATTGCACAGGACTCACCCTGAGGAACTCGGCCTGCAGCAGACTCTTCAACACTTGGTTGCAGCGTTTCCTCTGAGCTTTCTCTTCCAGGACGCTCTCCAGGAAGACCCGGATCTCTCGGATCTGAGTATTTGCTGGGAGCAGATTGATGGCCTGGAAACCAAACAGCAAGCTTGTTAAATGCAAAACACATCATGACAACATTTTTTTTTTTAAGTGAGCATCTTCTCTAGTGGTGGTGGGAATCTTCATGTTGTGGTGAAACAATATCTGAACTGAATTCACAAGAAAAGACATAACAGAGTCGTTCCACTTTTGTTAAGACTTATCATTCAAAAAACCATTTCGAAATGATAAATACTGAATTAAATCACTCTGGGGAAAAAGTAATTTGTTGTATAACTTGTTAAACTGTCCTTACATGACATCCCCAAAACTGGCAACATCTGCTTTTACCTTTAGAAATCAAAACAATTCAAATATTTCCCGTGTGCTTCTGTGGAAACTCTCAGGGAAACTAAACAATCGAGGCCAGTAGTCTTGTTGCTCTCCTGAATCCAGTGTTATTTAATTAAATTAGTACAAATAGCCTAGTTATACTCAAGACAGTCAACTTAGTGTTTTTCTGCTGAGAAACAACAGGATTTACTGTATGCTGTGCACAGTAGCAAGACACGGCGAGTGAACCCTTTGAAATTTGTCTTAAAATATGGTCAGAGCTGCTAAGTTACAGTTACAAACACTGTTGCGCTGTTCATGTCCATAGTGAATACGTCATTCAAACACTCTTACACAAGCTCTGTTGGAAGATTCATAGTGTCACAGCGCTCAAAGATAAAAATGGAAACATGTCAGACATAACTAAAGAAAGACATAATCGTGACAATGGACTTGTCAGGAAAAGGTTTCACAACCAAACACACAAATAAGATGCTTCATGTTAGAAGTCGTCTCCCTGAGAGTCTGGGAGCGAAGCCAGGCGAGTGGACTGAGAGCAGGGTGCCATTAAAGCCAGCGAGAGAGCACAGGAGTCAGGGTGGCAAAGAAAAATAAGATGGAGAGCTCCGGCCTGGGGATCTACACCTGAACATGCTCATAAACACTCACACAAAGAACAGTGCATTTTACAACCAGAATAAAACTCAGAGCAGCTCCAGTTTTGTATTTAAATATTTATAGTGAAACGGTGAAGGTATAATCACAGACTGTGCCTCTGTTTCTTGGGGATAAAACAAAAATAAAAGTGACTCTTTGCTCTTTTGGTTCTGGGTGCAGGCGTTCAAATCTAATTTATAAAAGGAATTTTATCCAGGATATTCACACTGTGACACAGACGCCTCTTGATCCGTGCTGTGATGGAAATGTTTTTGTTTGGTTTGACAGACATTTTCTATCACAAAGGCAGCAGCTTGATTGCAGGTACCACCAGCAGTGCCAACACTTCTGATCTCGCTCTAAAAACAAACTAAATCAAATCTTTAAACAAGCTGTGTTCGGTTGAGTCGCTGCTTTAATTTCACACCAAATGCCACAGAACTAATTTTGTGAGTGCATGTCGTTATTAAAGCTCATCTTAATCCATCCTAAACAAGACAACTCTTTTCCGTTTCACCTTCACAGCCGCATCTTGTCTTAAATTATTGATAAATTTAGGCAATGCTAAGAGTCTAATAATAATAATGGATTGAATTAGAAACAAATTCTTGCTGTCTAATTTAATGGGCAGTTTCAAGCACCAGGTGAACTTCACCACGTAGGAAAGTCAAATTAATGTACAATAGTTTTGTTTGTCAAATTTTGGCCATCTCACAAATGCCAAAGCAAATTTACAGAACGTTTCTGTGACAACTTACTGGAGATTGAGAGTAAATGTGTTTTATGATCTAAAAGGAGACAAAAGCAGAACTATTTGTATCACCAGACTAGAGTTTGTTCTAAAGTCACCCCAGGGAGGAGCAGGGTGTTGCTCTACTGTTGTTTACCTTGGTGGTGTTGAGCTTGGTGTGGTGCAGCTCCAGGACCTGCAGGGCTGCCTGGAGGTTGGCCTCAGGCTCCGACAGCTCCATCTGGATGGGGCCCAGGCAGTGGACGTCAGGGGGCGACAGGTACATTCGCAGAAGAGACAGATAAACCTGCAAAGAGAAAATAGAGCTGTTAATAATTCTCTTAGTGCACATTTGATCTGAATCTGATTATTTTACTTTCAATGACAGAGCATTTGCCACGGAGATACTAAGTGCTGGCATTTACAGTAAATGCCCACAGAGAAAGTACAGAGCAAAGGAAACAGCACAAAAAACTGCAAGACAATATGGAACAGCAAATCACTAAGGTCCCTTTAGATTCAAGATAGAGATACTAAAATAAAACCTTACAAAAAAAACAAGATGTGTCTACCAAGTTAGATACAAGTCATTAGGCAAGAAATGAATTCAAAATATCATTAATAAAAGAAGAGTTAGAAGGAGTTTACATACAAACCTAATTCAACATTTTATGTAATATGTTTTACTGAAGCATAAAAACAAATTTAGATTAAGAAAAACTTAATTACTGAGCTGTAGCTATGCTGGTAGGCAGATTTTGTTACCTTGAGAGAGCGCCATTTCCCCACTTCCTGTATTTATGCTAATTAGGTTAACTGGCTGCTGACTGTACCTACATACTGAATGTACAGATATGAGAATGTTAACGATATTTTTATCTAACTCTCAGTAAGAAAGCAAACCAAGTATAATTGTTGAAATATCCAATATTTCTTTACAATCAGCCAGTAACAGTGGGTTTAATATTAACATACTTCAAACACAGGAGTGGGGAAAAAAAAATTTAAATTACAGTAAAAGTTTCTTACATCTTTATTTCCTTCAACTAAATTGTTGTAGTGCCCGTGACAGTATCTGCAAAGAGAGCACAGAATATCATGAATAAAAAGCACATTTTACAGAAATTTACAGATAAACACCAGCTAAGTTAGTAGGACATTATGAGGAGCATTTCTAGGAAATTAGCTGGAAAAACGGGACCCATAAAATAAACTTCACAGAGCAAATATAAAGTTTGAAAGAAACTTACAACTTAATTTCTTAAAGCTGACTTTATTTGACAAACACGCTCACAGCACTGTAACAAGGTAATGAGGGCTGTTCCATTACACATGACTTTTTTTCACTCGTGGCCCTTGAGCATAATTTAATGCTAGGCAGAACAAATATTTGCCTGCTAGTTGGTATTCAAGTTCCACCCAGTTATGCAGGATCTTGTGGTGTTTGGAGTACTACTCACTCTTCAGCCATGCGGGTGTCTTTCAGGATGTGCACGTAGATGAACAGCGCCTGTTCGTGCATACCCATCCGACCCAGCAGCAGCGCCCGCTCCTCCAGCAGGCCTTAGAGAAAATTATATCAAAAGTGCAGGTTTACGTTCTTCATCTTAAATATATACAAATTTGTTGAAACCTTCTTCTGTAACTGAGTCCACACACTTGCCATCTACTCTAAGGGTAAATTCAGTTCTTACCATCAAAGGGGAAGTCGACAATGAGCGTGGAGGGTTCGTAGCTGATGGAAATATCTAGGAAAGACAGCAGCTTGTCCCTGTACTTGCCCAGGTCACCCTCCTCCTTCCCTGCAGCAACAGCTGGAACTCCTAAAACAGCACAGAAATTATAATGTAATGTTTACAGGTGTGATGATCAGTCAATCAACTGATCAGTTACGTAATGAACAGAAGATAAATGTAAAAACAAATGTGGTAGTCAGCTAATACGTCTAGTCATTTTTAAGAGGAAATCACTTGTTCCACTTTATCAAAAATGAATATTTGCTGCTTTTCTTAGTCTTCTGTGATAACAAATGGAATTTCTTTGGAATTCTGAACAGCTGGTCAGACAAGCTAGACATCACCTTTGGCTCTGGGAAATTGTCTGACAATTTATAAATGGAACAATTCAAGAATAAGATTAGCAAATTACTTGAATAAAGAAAATTAACTTTAGTTACACCCCTATCAGCATCAGTGATCAAGCACACAGCGTTTCAAAAGTAAACAAAAGAGGTTTTAAGCCTGCACCCATGAGGGAGCAGACTTAAATATTTGCAGTGTCTGGATGCACAGACTTATCTTTGTTAAGAATCACATTAATCTCAGACAAACAATATCTTACAATCATGGGATGTGTACTGCAATATGCTTTATAACACGACGTGAAGCAATAACCTGCTGCAAGGACAGATTTATTTTTATTGGTTTATTTGCAGACCGAGTGCACATTAATGAGCATCCCTGCAAGTATTGACTGAGAGGTCCACTTTGATGCACAATCCCTGGATGAGCATTAAAAAAGTACAAACACAAAGAGACAGTTAGACCTCATAATAAGTCATGACAGGGGCTGCATTGCAAAACAATGAGAGATAATGAATGTGGAAGCAAAGCGAAATTGAACCCATATGATGTAATCACACACACACACACACACACACACACACACACACACACACACACACACACACACACACACACACACACACACACACACACACCAACAACAATAAGCTCGAAAAATTAAATTACATTGACTTTCACAAATGACAGGGGGTGGGGGGTGGCGGTAAAAAGCATATTAACGCTTCAGGGTCACGTCAACCTCCAGGTCTGGCACCACAATGAAATCCTTTCATTTAAAGAATTTCCTTTATTTTCTAGCTTATCTTGAATGTTAAGTATCAGTCAGTACCACTTGATGATATATCTGAATCAGGATTTAAAAAAATAAAGTAAATCAATCCCTCATTTCTTGTTGAATTACCTAAAAACACTACTTTGGTCATATTCATAGCTGTGGTTGAAAGTAGTAGAAACGAGTAATAACTTGCAAGTTTCCTCTTGCTCATACCTTCTGGCAGTGAGTTGAGATACTCTTTCATGAGGACTTGAACCTTTTCCAGGTAGAGCTGGATCAGCACATTATGAAACTCTGGGCCTTTCTCTTCCCACATGTAGATGATGTGTTCCAAATATGGGATGGCAAGATCTTTAAAGCCATCCTTTAGGAAGTTCAGCACCTTGTCTCGAGGCAAAGTCTCCACCTCTGTCAGGTCCTCAGTGAAGATCTGGACAGGAAGAGAGATTTTAAACCTACAGAGCAGAGCTTTACCTTAAGGGAAGTGAGCATAAAATAAAGGCAGGCTTTGAAAAGAAAGGTCAATTGCCATTTTTCTCTTCTTGGTCCTGGCTGTCAAAGTGCTATCTGGAGGTTATGAGAATTAAAATGGTACAAATAATAGAACCAAGCACTATTTAAAACCAAAAGGTTGCAAATGTGTGAACGCCGAACTGTGTAAATATTTTGCGACCCACCTTCAGGCCATCTTCAGGATTGATCTTTAGCACCCAGGGAGAAAACTCAAAGATTATTCCCAGATTCTCCAGCCCTGTGTGACAAGATTAATGCATAAAAGTTAATTCAGCTTCACTAACAGAGCTCAGAGGAAAACTGGTAACCACGCTGTCAGGCATCACATTAGAAAGCAAAGACAATCTGCTGAACACATGATCAACAAATGATCAAGATGTGACTTTTTTTAGTTCAATCACAGGTTGTAAACAGATGAAATGCTGATGAGAAAAATAAAAACCAAAGCCAATTTGAACATGTTCATTCAATAATCCAAGAAAAAGCTTCACCTGAAGCCGGAAACGTGACCATGTAACTCTGTTTCTTGCCTCATTTCAGTGGCTTCCAGTCCAGTAAAGAATTGATTTTAAACTGTCTTTAAATGGTCTAGAGCCCCCCCTACTTCATAGAGCCTGTACATCTGCCTGTCCCAGGAAGATCACTCAGGTCCACCAACCAGCTGCTGCTAGGTGTGCCTACGTCTAAAGCTCAGAAGTGATCAAGCCTTTCCAACTGCAGGGCCAAGACTGTGGAGCAGTCTACTGCGGCACTGGACATCAGGTTGACACTGCTGCATTTACCAATAACACACAGCACCTTTAACTACCAAGCACCCAGTGAGTACAGTTTTGTTTGGGCAGAGACATAAAGAGTTAACAGAGTTACACAGCACATGATACAAAAGCCTCACACTGAGTCAGAGTCAGACAAATGAAAGACTGGAGGTCATGGCAAGTGAGAGATGCAGAATATGAATCTGATCCAGCATTCACAATTAATCAGAGTGAAAGTTTTCTCAGAGGCCTTCCCAAAATCATGCCAAAAAACACAACATACCTTGTGGAAACCACAACTTTGACACTAACTTAAAACAAATGTAAGTTGGCCATCGATCCTCACCCAGTCTTTGGAGGTACTGAACTGTTCGCTCATGGCCCTTCAGCGGAGAGTTGGCCTTGGTAGACTGGTCAAGCAGCACCTGCAGAGCTGTGAGAGGGCAAACAGGGTGAAGGCATAAAATGACAGAGGTCACTAGCTCTGCTGTGCACTGCACTGCACTGCATAATTGCTCTATCAACAGAAACTGGACAAAGCATATGCACAGTGTTAATTGGTGGCTGAGAACAGCTGGTTTGAATTGGCAGGAAGAGAGAGGCAGACCCAAGCAGCTTGACATCACAAGCACAAACTGCTGCAGGCTGATTAAATCCAGCCGTGCTCACAGCGAGAACAGCCCAGAATATGCCGCAGAAACCAAGAGCCATTAAAACATCTCTAACCTATGAGGATGACGAATCAACCACATGTAGGAAACCTCATCCGAGATAAACGGTGGAGTCTGACAGAGATGATATACCCCATGCCCAGAATACAACTTAGTTAGAAGCACATAAGTGGTAGCTATTCAATTTAAACACGATGGAACACCTCAGCTCACAAAGGCTTTGTATTTGAATGAGGAGGTAATGAGGAGACTGCCAACAATGAATGAAACAAGTGCTTCCTCATTTAAATACACATTCAACATCCCACATGAAAGAAAACGGATGTTTAATTGTAGTTTACTGTTGTGCCTTTATTTGTCATACTGAAGTCTTCAACAGATAAACCACACTCCAACAAATAAAGCTGACCAGTGATATCAGCCAGTATCCACTTGAATCATTTCTCTGTCTGCTGCATAATACTTGTGTTCTCACTTCAAATAATAATAATAATAATAAATAACCATCTCAGAGGAAATGTCACTGAAAAGCCACTTTTATAAATGAAATTTCTGTTTTTAATTTTTTAATAAATGCAACATTTTTGCATGTTTTACTTTCTCATTCTGGGTTAATGAGTGTAGACTACTGGGTGTATCTAACAGATGCACTAACAATAAAACAGTACAGCTTCTTCTGTTGTTTAACAATGGATATTGCTGACTAGGTATATACAGCTTATTCCCTCAGATTTTGTTCAGCAGCTGTGCCGCTGTGTGTGTCCACAAGTGTGTGATGCTGGACCCGTATTGATAAGGGCTGGTGGAGGAATATTGAACATGAGATTCTATGCATTTGATTCATATATCATGTTTTATGATCATCAACAACTTCAGATCTCTGTCCTTGTCCTGCAGCCAGGCTGCCCTGCTCCTAACTACTGCTGCTGGCGTCTGTCACCAGGAAACCTTCTGATTTATGTGAACTGTTTCACATCAAGCTGGAAATCTGTATGTTGTGTTTCTCAGCTGATCAGCAACTATTTCACTGCTGTCAACAAACTATACTTATGCAAACATCGTTAACAGGATAAGAAAATAAATGAACACAGTAATTGATTGTCTCTGTATTAAAATATAAGAGTTATTTTGTAGCAGTTTCCAATCTGGTGTTTTCAACTTGGTTAGATTTAGTTTAGCTAAATCTTAAGCAGCTAGGATATCTGAACATGCACTTGAACTCAAAAGAGAGAGATGTCTGACAATTTTCCTCAGCAGCCATCAACAGCTGAAGGAGGAGTATAAATCCCTACAGGCTTGAATGAATTATTACCTTTCCGGTGCAGGCCCTTCTTCTCATAGAGAATAATGAGCTCACTGTACTTGTGAGCTTTCTTCAGGACGTACTCGCTCTCCTCGATGTGGCAGTGGTTGTTCTCCAGACGAAGGAGAGGGGACACCAGGGCCACATTGGTCTGAATGGGAGCAGGAGCAGATTACAAAACATGCAAACCAAACATGAATCCATCCAAACCTTTAAAACTCAAGCTGTGTTTCATCATAAGACTACAAGAAGGTGACTTCACTGATTATTTCATCCTCTCTGCTTCACAGTGTTTATCATTTAAATAAACTGGTGAAGACACTTGGAACTCCAAACTAGGTACTCCTAAATGATTCATCTAGTGTAATCTGGCCCTGCCCACCAACTCACAGGACTTATTATAACTCTAAAGAAAAGCACCTAGTGGCACTTTCCTTGATTGCACAAGTCACATGAACTGCCTCAGTTCAATGTGGAGGAGCAGCAGAAAGACTTTGAGGTACATCATGTTTTTCTCCTCATGCAGAGCCCAGCCATTCTGTGCATAAACTTAACTTTGGCTGCCTATATAAGTCATCTCAAGCCCAAATTCCTGCAGCCACTTCATCTGAATGAGCTCACACTTACTGTAAATCACAATACTTTTAACTGTGACTCGGTTTTTGATTCTTTAAAGTATGTGCACTGAAAACAAGTATGAATACTAGAAGACTGTGGCCTCACATGCAGGTAACATTTGAGCAGGGTGGTATCAATGATCTGCAGGAGTTTTTTGCGGCTTTTAATAGTAGGTGTGCCTTCCATGAGTGGAGATGTCGTGGAAGGGTCCGAGTCATTCAGCTGTTTCACCAGGTGGCTGCGTTTCTGTGAGAGCAAGAAAAGAAATAGATTATTAATACTGCATTTCATTAGATTTTCATCAGTGTCCATTGCACTCTCCATTAATGTTATTATTATGACATTAGAGGTTTAGTTTTTGTAGAGTCTCGTTTACAATCCTGCATAAAGTGGGATCTGACAAAACGTTCTCCTGCCATCATACACACAAACCTGGGTGAGGTAATCAATAAGAGCGAGATGAGCTTTTTCCAGCTCTGCACCAGACAGAGTGGGCAGAGGGTTGGGATACTGCAGCTGTTTGCGGTAATCTAATGGGAGCAGGTCCGGGTACAGGCCAATCACATGGGTGGGATCTGCAGAGCAAAGGAGACCACATTTGTAAAATTTTATTCCATGTATGATACTTGAGTTTGCTTAGTAGTCTTTGATTAAAGATCTGTTTTGAGGACAAAACATGATCACTAAACACCATACTTAGTACAAAAAACAACAACTGTGTAACCAGATCTGAAATCAAGAGCTCATTAAAGCAGAGAAACCGCCATGAATGTGGGTAAGAGCCCAGATGTGACATCATTACATGTGAAAGTCATTTGTGGATAAAACCATTTACATTAATATATGCAATAAACAACAAATGTCAAATGAGTTCATGAAGACAAAAAAGTAGGCAGAATAAACATAACATAATTGTGACCAGATTCAGCCGAACCAGGCTGTGATCATGTTGGTGAAACTGATGATATTTAGAAAATCAAATCACTTCTTCTGTTCTTCACCAACAAAACAGCATATTATTTTCAAGATTTCAGGGGTCCACCAGGAGGGATGGGGGTCCTACCTGTGCCAAGTTTGGCAAACACCTGCATGGAGTCATCAAATCTCTTCTGGCAAAACAGATTGAAGGCATAGAGATTCTGGATGTGATGTATCTGCTGCTTCTTGTCACCATCTGAATCATCCTTCATCTTCTGACAGAAAAAAGAAACAGCAGAAAAGTCATCATGCTACAGCATCATCTCTCCAGTGGACTTATCAAAATGGTTGCTCCCTGTAATGTGAAAACCACAAGAAGGACCAGTTTTATTCTTGGAAACATCCCTGGAAAGCTAGATTTACTGCCCATGAAGAACAAAGCTCTGAGCATTGTACTGTTTGAATGTACTGGTCCTAATCAATATAAGTGATTTTAATGTGCCATTCTCTGAGCTAAAGCACAAAGTGAATTTAATAACACGGTTTAGTAGTGAGGGAAGTGGTTCTGTTGCTCACAGCTAACTGGAGAGCCAGCTCAAACTGCTTATCCTGAAGAAGCTGCCGGATCTGGCTGGCTATTGACACGGGTACCAGGCGCCACACAAAGTGGTTGCTGGCAACATAAACAATATTCGGCCTGTGAAAGATAAGATGAGAAAACAAGATTAGTGAGAACAGTCTGGAACAAAAGTGTTTTTCTTTGGGAGGACGAACTGACATTACCAGCTTCATTATCATTATACATGAACACTAGGAGAGCAGATGAAAGCAACAAATGATGGACTGTCTTCTTAACGAAAAGCCACTGTTCACCATCAGACCAACTACAGTGTGTGCATGCCGAAAAATCTTTGGTGCTGAAGCTTCATGCTCATTAGGAATTCTGACTGAAATCTGCAGTTGTGCTCAACATCGTCTGCAATAATACGGTGGATTAAAATCAAACCTACACAAATTAAAATGTACTAATAGAACAAAAACCTCAGAGGACTGTCTGCCTCACCCTGCTGAGGTGATGAAGCGAGGTCTCTGCAGCTCCACGCTCTGCACCAGGAGCCTCGGCTCAAAGGTCCGAATCTCCACATACCGAGGGAGAACGGCTATAATGTATGGAGGCTGGTGCTCTGAGAACAACAAAGAGAAGGCAGTGCTACAATGTTGTGCAACCACAACTGAATAAGATTAGTATATTACATATCGCCTGCAAATAACATGAAATGGTTCAACCATTTGAGGGAAAGAAGGCAAATGAACTTTTTGGATGTAAAATAACACTTTTATAATATGAGTAATACAAACAGTATTTTAGCTACTGTACACACAGTGGGTCAAAATAACATTCATACTTAGTGAATGCTCAGTTGGGATGTGATTTTTCTGAAGCTTGTGATGCAGGGAAACAGGACAGTGGTGTATTACAACAAGCTGGTGCCATCAAGATCCTGGTGGTAAGAAGGCTTACAGGGAGAGTAACTGTGTTGCCCTTTAGCCACTAAAAGTGAGAAAACTCATTTTTAATTTTTTTGTTTGGAAAAACAAAGGGACGTTTGCACTAACTTATCTCATTTTTCTTTAATTTGCCATTCATTTGTGATTAAGTGAAGACCTTAAAGCTAATTGGGCAGGAAACCCTGCCAGAGTCAGTTAATCTATAAAGGCCTAGGACTGGACTCTGGACACAGGACAGACTATACTCACAGAGGAAAGGTCAGCCCTCTGCTCCAGCTACAACCAGTTACGAGCATTTTAATCTGACCAGCACTCATCCTCTGCTCATGGACGCCAAAGCCACAGTGCTGAGTGTATCAAAACAAGGAAACTGCAAATTATATGAAACCACCGCTTGAGGGCTTCATTTGCTGCTCTACATTCCAATGAACACTGACAGAGTGGCCTTTAAAACAATGTGAGAGTTCATTTGTATCACCTCTATCACAATATTCATCAGTACCCGAGGCATGTGATATCTTAGTCACAGGTTAAAAATGTCTTTCCTCCTCAGACATGCAGAAAACAGCACCACAGCTCAGGAAGAGTAGAAAGAAAGAAGTGGCAGACAGCAGCTGGATGACAACAAGTGACAGAACAATGCTTCATAGTCCAATTATTGCTATGTAAACAAACCTGCTCGATTACTGTAACAGCAGGTGAATAAGCTGTACTGTTGCAGGCACAGTATTCATAGATATTTCTTAATCCGTCCATGAACCCACAGGGCAACTTACCAAACTCTTTTTA